AAAACGTGTCTTGTGTCATAATTTTAGACTTTGTATTGTTTGGGTTCTTTATTTTCATATATTTAGTAATTTATATATTTAATTCTTCTAGTGAGTAAAAAAAATGTCGGTACTTCTAGTGTCAATGCTTGTGAAGCGTGTGTTATCAATAATGGAAAGTTTTACAATTTCTAATTGCAACCTAATTGGTGTTCATGAAAATATTAAATTATATTCATATAAACACGTATTCTACATATGTTTATATTCTACATATGTTTATATTAACACTTTTATAAATACAGAGTGTATAATTTCATATAATTTTTATAGATTCTTCCTGATATATTTCAATTATTTCAAAAGATGATCGATGATTTTTTATTAACAACTTTTTTTAATACCTTTGCATATATTAATTTACAACAATTAGTCATTTGCGAGGAATTACTTATTATTTTTTATAAATTCAATTTGATTGTAGCATTAAAAAAAATTATAACGAACGAATTATATCGAACACTAACTTCATTAAGCAAGTATCTATTTACGCATATGTTTGAATGATTCAAATCGCAATAAATGATGCAGAAAAAATTATCTTACTCATTTTTTTCTTTTCTTTATCGTTGATATCTTTTTTGAAAATAATTTTATTCGAGGATGTCTTTACTTCCCTGCGACAAACCGAGCTATAGCGTCTCAATGATAAAATAGCGAGATCCGACAATACAATTGTACATACATAGATATACGTAGGCGTGTCTGTCATCGTATCGTACATATCTGTGTCACAGGGCTGTATATATTATACGATTTAAGTCCATCAAATGTTACCGAGGATGCGATGCAAGACGATCGCGTCCGGCATCGTTCTCCCGCGTGCGTAGCAACGTTTAGCACTTGCATCCTTGATGAAAAAATTTTTGACAGTCACGAGCGATTAGTTAGCAGTAGTTAGAAATACTGTACATAATGCGGTACCTAGATAATACGTAATGTATATACGATCACGTACATTAAATAGCGAGCTATATAAAGCGTACGTATACACTTGTACATCGAGATAGACGCAGTGGAGACTCAGACGCTTCCGATTTTTACGTTATATCTTATTCGTAAAAGTACACAGCACAATATGTTATGTATTTTTTAATACGAGTGATTTAATATATTTAATATATATTTTTCGTTGTATATAGGCTCCTATTGGGATATTAGGTAGAAACTTTTTGCTCTCCGCTGTGACTCGATTTATGCTCGCTATGATCAATCCGTTTCCCGCGAACACTTTCGGTGATTAATTAAGGGCTATGATTTTAGATTATAGGCCAGGAAACGTGATATACCAATCATATACTTATTCCTGAAACTCATGCGTGTGTATAGATTCCATTATCAACGTGAAAAATTGCGTAAAAATGTATACATATATAAATATATATAAATACAGTAATTTTATTGTAATATCACGTAAGTTGTCGACTGTGCATCATAGTACATACAAAATCTTTACATGCATCTGCGTATACATATGCACATATAAATATACATAAATGTATAAACGGACGTTGTATATAGTAAAGATTTAATAGGACGAGATAAGATTTAATAGGACAAGATTTAAAAGCAACATGTACTATTATCATCATTATCATTGTCATCATTATCATCATATTATTGAGATTGATATGTAGTCACAATACATGCTACTATTGTTAATGTCGCTTGTCGTGTACATTACCATACGACTTTTTATGTATCTGACAATGTTTTACGTTTCTAACTGTACGTAACTATACATGGAAAGCGGATGCTGTCATTACATGATTCAATAATTTGCACGGTGCCACCGTATTGTTACGTTGCGCTACAAAGTAATTTGAAATAACAGCAGTATTTTGATATATGTGGGAAACTTTAATTGCGTAGTTTTTTCCTAAATTATATTTTAATGAGTCCAATCACGGAAGATTAATATTGTACAAACGCGTTAGAAAATTTCTTTACAGTGAGAGTCGGGCCGAACTGTTAGACTACGTACGAGCAACATCCGATAGCTTCCTTTCGTCTCATTTCATACTTCATCTCATTTCTATCTTTAAACCTGAACTCCCAGAGTCGTGGACCAAGCTGTAGCAAAAACAAATTCTCGACAAAAACATGCGCACGAGACAGAAAGGCGAATTATAGTAAGATAAAGCGAGAAACGCGAATAAAAAGAGTTCCTAAAGACGCGCATCCGTTGACAGGTACGACGATGAGTGAAAAGAGGACAGAGAGGTAGAGAATACGATACCTCGAAAGGAAATTGAAAAGAGAAGACAGTTAAGCAAAGAGAGTCATAAAGGCGGGGAGAAGGTTATCGATTTTTGTTCGTCAGCAATTTGTAGATAATTAATATGATAATGATATAGAGATACGATCCCCACTCCTCTCCTCGCTACGGCATCATCGTCGGCTAATTATCGTTCGTATGTTGTAATGCGTTTAATAGACATAATGCGCAAACGGATAGACATTTTATTGTATTAGTTACACCCATCAATTATTATTAGTTATTATTATTTCATTATATATATTTTAACTTTTATTATTTGAGAATAAAAGTGCTAGAGAGCTTTTAGTTACAGCAACATTTTTTGTTCGATTTTTTGTAGTTCCTCACTCCTTCATTCCTTCCAAGTTACGATTTTATGTTTTGTAAAAAAAAGATATACGAACAAATATTTTTTATGGCATAGATCACTTTTGATGACAGATGCCTATGTATCTTAGTTTTGAGAATTTTTTTTTTCATTGTTAAATTTGCGATGTCGCGTTAGAAATGTATTTTTCTCCTACCGTCCTGTCATTTTCATTTATGTGTGTATATATTAACTGTATATACAATTTAGTAGTGAATAGATAATATTCGATTTGCTATATATAAATGCGTTAAAGCCAATCTACGATCAGACGGGATAAGAAGCAGGATTAAATACAGAATTAAGATGTAAAGTAATTCTTAATTATTCAAACATTTTTGAAAATGCCAAAAATTATAATTACTGGCGATAAATGAGTAAAATTTATTTGTATAACAATTTGTGAATTATTCAAGCAATATATTTTGAATTACTAAATTAACTTTGCATAGTCATTTTTTATAAAGTGCGCATTCAATTTAAACGAACAGAAATTATACGATCTTTTGCTTTTTATTTCCATCTGCGTCATAATTGGCTTAAGGCTATTCTAGATGTTCTCAGTAATTAGGAGAAAACGAAGCTACAAAGCTCCGGGTATACCAATTAGTCGACTACTTGTAGAAGAATTTATACTTTCGACGCAAGACGCGCAATTGGATACTTTAAGTTTTGATAGAACTAAATGTCAAATTACGAAAAGCTGAGTTAAACATGATTTTAAAAAACATTAAGAAGAGTACAATTAATCTTTTTGGAATCAGCCAAATTGTGCGTAAATATTTGCGTACTTAAAGATGTCTGTACTCTAATTAAAAATAATTTTACTTGTGAAATTGGATAGTAGAAAATCGTGCGTATTTTTCAATTTATGGCATTTTGCATCTTAATTTGAAGTGCCCAATTTTTCGACGTCTTCGTGGAAAATTGTAGAATTACCATAGGTTTTATTAACGTTCGATGTGTAATATGTTATCACGAGGCGCATAACATAATCGTGTAAGGGTAATACGCGAAGAGCACGGTATGACAGTTCTTAAAACGTTACGATGATCGGAAACCCCGTTCAAATAAGAACGATAAATCGTTTAACTATTTTGTACTAAGAATTATCGGAGCGATCATGAACGACGGTGTCGCGATTCGTAAATCTTTCCGTCGACGGACTGTAATAATTATAGACAAATTTCCTGCTAATGCGTGTCTGCAGTTATCTCCTCTCATCTTTTGATGAAAGGATGACTTTTGTGGGACTGAAAGAGAAAAAAAAGAGATAGAGAGAGAGAGAGAGAGAGAGAGAGAGGGAGGGAGAGAGAGAGCAAATGAGAGGGAGAGAATGAAAATGAGAGGAAGAGCGAATGTATAAATAAAATCATATCAATCATAAATAATTCGTGTTATCTAGATATACTACGATTATTACAATTATTATTTATCACAATATAATTATAGTGAAGGATATTGTAATTGTATAATAAACTGGATCATAGATAATCTTTGCTATCCCATGATTTTTCAATATGTGCGTGGAAAAGTTCGATTATATATTTTCTAATCCTACATTCAATTGATTTTGAGAATTAATTTTAATAATGTTACAGCAAGATTTAGCACCACTACTCATAAAATATTATTTGTTTCAAAGGTATGTTATAATAAAGTTACAATGCAAGAATTAGAAATAAAATGCTTTATGAAATATAAGAAATAAAACATGTGATTATTATATAAATTCTTGTAAAATAGTTTCGTAAAACAATAAATTATTATATTTTAAGTTTTAACAATAAAAATAAGTAAGAATACATTTATCAGTTATTATATATTGATGCTTTTCATTTAGTAACATAAATTTTAAAGGTAAATATATGTAATAAAACGTTATAGAGTGGAAAAATTATTAAAAGTATATAATGATATAATTATACATATAGACAGAAATTAATCAAATAATTTAATTGACTGATAGTAAGTTAAATCTACTTTGGTAGTATTAACTGATAGTAGTATTTTACCGTCTGTGAGTACATATAAATTGAATAAAATTTATATAATCAAATTGAAGACCAGCTGTAGATGCATTACCCGCCAAATATACGTACGGAAATATCCGTAGTTATACAGTTCAATATGAACGTTTTATGTATAGAGGCGCTAGTAAACGTAGTCCATGTTTGTAGGAATAAATTCCCTATCATAAAAAATCCCTACAATTCCCTAAGCAAAAAATAACTTGGTAGGAAACTAGGAATAAATGGTAGTTTCATTTTGACATCACTGCTCGACTGCTTTCAAGTTTCAGAAATCAACACGACTATACATAACCTAAAAGGTTACACATGGTACTGTGAACAACTGTGAACCCTTTAAACGTTGGAAATCCATCCAAAGACTCAAGAAGAAAAGCTTAAAAGAAAAGATTGAAGGCATATTAATTTTCTTTATTTGAAAAATACTTCAAAAGAAAAAAATCGAATGCATTTACATTAGTGATTAAATTCTTGATCATTCTCCGAATCGCACGAGAATGAGTAGCTCGAAGAAATTGGAAAAAACCGGACCAATTGACAATGCGTGGTCGTTGAAAATACCAGAATTTAAAGAAGAGGATAATCCACATCGTCTTCTCGTGGAGAGCTCATTTGCGACGATGTTTCCAAAATACCGCGAGCAATATTTGAAGGAACATTGGCTTCTGATTCAAAAAGCGTTAGATGAGCACCATATCAAGGCTGAACTGGATCTCATTGAAGGAAGCATGACAGTGAAAACTACCAGGAAGACTTGGGATCCATACATAATCATCAAAGCACGTGACGTGATCAAGCTCATGGCTCGTTCGGTTCCCTTCGAGCAGGCTATTAGAGTTCTCCAGGATGACATTACTGCAGATATCATAAAGATATCCTCCTTTGTCAGAAACAAGGAGAAGTTTGTCAAGAGGAGACAAAGGCTTATTGGACCAAATGGATGTAATTTGAAATCCATTGAGCTGCTAACTAATTGTTATGTCGTGGTTCAGGGTCAAACTGTTTCGGCACTGGGACCTTATAAAGGCGTACAGCAAGTGAGAAAAATAGTACAAGATACTATGAAGAATGTTCATCCAGTTTATAGTCTCAAGACATTGATGCTTAAACGAGAACTTTCTAAAAATTCAAAATTAAAGAATGAGAATTGGGAACGATATCTTCCCAAGTATACCAGCAAGAATATAAGTAAGCGCAAAGAACCAAAGAAGAAGAGGGAGAAGAAACCGTACACTCCATTCCCACCGCCTCAACAAGAAAGCAAAATCGATAAGGCAATGGCGTCTGGTGAATACTTCTTAAAGGAGGAACAGAAGAGGGCAAAGAGAAAGAAGGAACTGGAAGCGAAACACGAAGAGGCAACCAAGAAGAGGCAGGAGCGTAGAGCACAAGCATTTGTACCACCTGAAGAAAAATCTGTTGAAAGTGAAACTGGAAAGACTGATATAGACATTGCTGAAATAAAAAGGAAAGTTCAACAAGGATTGAAAAAGCATAATAGAAAATAATGTGGATATCTTTTAAACATTAATGACACAGTATGATGTATAAAGTGATATGAGAAATTAAGTTTTGTCACACAAATATAAATTTACGGAAATACCCCGTTATTTTATTAGAAAAACTCATTTTTATATAATTATTGTATTATCGCATTCTTAACATGTATATATAATTATTTTACATTTGCAAAATATATATATAGAGCAGAGGAAATTTCAATTTAACATTTTGAAGACAAATATACCTAGAATTTTTCAATATTTTTCCTTGCTAAATCTTTTACAGAATATATTCTGCATATTTTAAAATATATGAAACAGAATTTTAAAGGATGATTTTGAAAATTATTTACCATACTTTTCTGTTTCTTTAAGTTCTACTTTCAATTCTGCTTAGTTTTGATGAGGATATTTTATTCCAAGTATATAACATCTTCAATATGCACTTTGCGTGATTCCATGCAAACGCCATTTCAAATCCTACAGCAAAATTATTGTAATTTGAAAGTAGCGGATGCCGAACTGACGCTTGTTTCTTGATATCTAAAATTGTTCTTATCAGACAAAATATTGCACTAACGCATCGTATTTATATATGACAAGGATATAAATGCTTATTCAATGTACAGCGCTCTTATTTTATCGACACCACAATTTCGCTTCTCGAGTATAAATTTTCATATTACTGGACACATGAATATTAACATTGATTGGTTATCCGCTATATATAT